CTGGGGACAAACTCCATGCTTCTTTAAGTCACTTGGTTTGTTTTGTTTTGTTTTGTTTTTCCAACAGCAGTTAAGTAGCTAGTGTTTTGTATGATCTGGAGAAATGTTTTCTAAAAGAAAATGGTATCTGTCCTTTAAGAAGCTGACAACACATGGCTTGAAATTATCTTAAGTGAGCTTTTTTAGATGACTGGGACAGAGACACTGATTTTGGTGCAGACGTGCTGCAAAGTCAGAAGAGGAAATAGTCAGCTGTGAGCTAGTCCTCAGGGGCCACAGTGAGGGAGCAGTGTTCAGGGTACACAGCCTTGATAGCAAGCTTCTGGCCACTGCTGCCACTCTCAGACTGGGGCCTCTTTTTCTCCCCTCAGTGAGGGATCTTCTTTGCTTAGTAGTCTGAAGTTCGACTTTCTGTCCTTGAGTTTGTTGCTTTTTTTTTTTTTTTTAATTTCTCCTTACCCCCAGCCATTCTCCTTGCCATTGTGATGTACATTCCAGCTCTCTGAGAGAGATTTAGGTTGGCCTGACAGAGAGTGAGAGAAAATTTCATGTTAATTAACAGAAAACCAGACTGGTAGTAGCCTAAATCAATAGGACTTCAATTTTCTCTTATAACAAGAGACCAGAGGTAGGTGGTTGCAGACATTGGTTCAGCTGCTCAATGCTTACATTGACTCCTCAAGCTTTCTATCTTTCTATTCTTTCATTTTTAGCTGTGGGCTTCTTATCTTCAGTCATGTTGCCTCATGGTTGCAAGGTGACTGCTATATCATGTGTCTACATTCAAGGCAAGAAGACTGGGGGAGGTCAAGTCTAGCAAGTTTTTCCATTGCAGCTATCACATGCACGCACGTGCGCGCACACACACACAGACACACACACACACACTTCTGCTTAAGTCTTATTGACCAGAACTGTGTCATCTGATGACGTGTAGCTGCCAGGAAGGTTGGGAAAGTGAGTATTGAGCTTTGACAGTCTCTATCGTGGGAAGGCAGCAAGGCAGAAGGATATTGAGCAAGGTTATTAGCAGTCAGGTAGAGAACAAGGTCTGCCCAGTCAACATCTTGCATGTGGCATCTACCTTAGGCAATGCTCCGAGAGAAGCTATCTGCTAAAAGACTTTGCAGTTGATGGATAACTGTCTTTGAGTCAGAGGTATATGATCAGATGATATGATGACATTATATGATCAGATGTCAGCATGACAGCTTTCCTTGGAAGAGGGCTGTATGAAGGGCAAGAACTAATAGTCCTCTGGTAACAGTATGATATACAAATGTCTCAATTCTCATCAGTGGCCCAATTATAGCTTAATCAACCACAAACTTAACTGTACCTGCCACAATCCCCCATCTATTCACAAGCTTGCTTGGTTCATTCATATATTTATTCAATAAATATTGGTATAATGATAGGTTCTTATCTAGGTACAGGGGATATGGTGGAGAAGAATATAAGGAGCTTACTTCCTAGTGGAAGAGAGAGAGAACTTATACTCCAATAACCCCATTGCTCTCTTTTGTAACAATTAGCACAATTTCACTACTTATATATTTAGATGGTAATAAGTGCTATGGTGAAAATGTAAGTAAGAGGCAATGTAGAAGCATGGGTAAAGTGTGAAAGGGTAAGGGAGCATGAACTCTAATTTATAGAATAATTAGATTTCAGAACTAAATGCTTTGGCCACAAAATTTTCAGTCTGCTGCCTTTAAAGGAAAATGAGCAGACATTTTTGCTCTAGAGAAAAAGGGAAGGAAATACACATAGCCAGGAGCCAAAAGTGCATAGTTTGTACTATACACACAGTCTCTGTTCTCATTAGATCATGGTCTAATATCTTCAGTTATTTTATTTGTCCTATTACTTTCCTGTGTTGAGTATAGCCTACAAAATGCAGCCTTAGCTCTGAGTGGCACTTCAGCTTTTACTTAGCTTCGGGATTAACCATCTCTTACTCTACATTGTTTGTTGTTTGCTTTGGTTTGGTCTGGTTTTAAAAACTCACCAGAGGATATAAAGAAACCACCATATACTGGGATATTCTCCAGCCCTTAGGCACAAGATTTTTACCAACGCAACTGCCACTGCTCATTTGCCTTCTGTGTGGCTATATAAGATTTGTATACTGGAGCCTAAAATATATTTTATTGATCATCCTCCTACCTTACTAATTACTTACTAATCTTACTAATTTGTGAGCACCAATCTCTCAATTTTGTCTAGACTAATTGCTTCTTATCCTTCAGGTCATGGCATAATTATAACTGCCTTAAGAAAGAATTTCCTTAAAACTTAGACTAAATTTCAGTTTATTCTCTTATAAATCCATTGTTCTCCTTGATGAGGATCACCACAATTTCAGTATTTATTTATGTAATAGTTTGATGAAGGCTTGTTTAATCCCTTATAGACTATCAGCACCATGCAGGCAGGGGCCATATCTGTCTTACTTAGCTCTTTATCTCAATGTATAAGAGGGTTATATATACATAGTGGCACTCAATAATATTTAGTAAATTAATAGACATCCTTAGTCTCCAAGTGACTAACAAAGTGCCTCAGAAGGACAGACACTATTGTGAATGCTGATTGTGAAGTTCTGCCCATAAAACCCTTTAAGAACAGAAGATTAAGCCCCATCCGCTCCTTGTTGTTAGGAGTACTGCTGGGGAAAAAAAAAAAAAAAAAAAAAAAAAAAAAAAACCTTATTGTCAGCATTATTTGGATAATGCCTCAGTTAAAGAAATGGACAAGCCCAAATCATGTCCCCTTACAGGGGTTTTTTGTATCCAATAACCAATCAGTGTTGGGAATTGAAGGGCCAGCCACTTACATCATTTCATGATACCCCTAAAAGATTATCCCAGTTCCAAGGGGACAGCTGAAGCCCTTTTATAAAAAATTAACATATAATGTGTTATTAGCCCCAGGGGTACAGGTCTGTGAATCGCCAGGTTTACATACTTCATAGCACATACCAGCTGAAGCCTTTGTTAGGATGACATCACCAATCAGTGTCTCCCTCTGCTCAACCCTTCTTTCACAGAGGTTGATCCTAAGAGCGCACAACAGCCTGTCCTACATGCTAATCTCCCCTGCAGAGTCTACTTCATGAGTAATCCAACCCATGATAGCCACTAAAAAATATTTACTGAACTGAATTGAATATCGTGTTCTGTCCTACTCCAGCAAAGATCAATTCTTATTCATCCTCACATTCTTGCAATGACTAGGTGTCTTTCATATCGTGAGTGCTATTGTTTGAATATTTGTGTCCCCCCAAAACTCATATGTTGAAATTCTAACTCCCAAAGGGGATGGTATTAGGAAATGTGGCCTTTAGGAAATGCTTGAGTCCTGATGGAAACCTCATGAATGGGATTAGTGCCCTTATAAAAGAGGCTCCAGAGAGCTCACTCCCTCTCCCATCATGTGAGAGCACAACTAGAAGTCTCCAACCCAGAAGACAGCCCTCACCTGATAATGCTGGCACTTTGATCTTTGACATCGAGCCTCCAGACTTCGAGAAATGAAATTCTGTTGCTTATAAGCTACTCAGTCTGTGGTATTTTGTTAAAACAGCCTAAACAGACTAAGACACTGGGCATCATAAATACCAACGTATTCCCCCAACCTTGATCTACATAGAGGTAAAGCATCCCTATTCAAAGTGTGGTCTTAGAGCCAAGGGCACTGGCATTCTCTGTATATCATTACAAATGCAGAGTCTCAAGGCCCAACTGTATCAGACCAATTAAGTTAGAGTCTGCATTTTAACAAGATCCTCAAGTGGTTCATATGTTCATTGACATTTCAGAAGTACTGAGCTAAGAGATTTATTAATATAAATAAAATGATCCTTTTAATAATTCCTTTCTAGAATGTACAGCATCTTAAATTTTTTCCCTCTAAAATTTTGCTTAAAGGTAGCGCAGTCATGCATTCTTTTGTTCAACAAGTGCCAAACAAGTGCCAAAGATTTCAGGGTGATGGAGCTTACTTTCTAGAAGGAGGAGAAAATAAACATTGATATGCCCGTAACAGAGCATGGGGGGAAGGAAAGTGCCATGAAAAAATAGTAGGACAGGGTAAGGTAAGGTGAGAAGCTGGGTTGTGATTCTAAATTTCTGCAGAGCCATGATAACAAGATACTTGAAACAGCTGAGGTAGTTAGTCATATACTTATCTGAGTACAGCCTAGAGTACCCTAGGAAGGCAGAGGCCATTTGGCTGAAGAGGAATGTGAGAAATGCAGAGTTAATATGGTCAGGGAGGAAGGAGGACGTTCTTAATAAATCGCTTCGTGATATTTAATTGCTAAAAAGATAACACAAGTTGCTTTTCCTCCAAGGATGAAGTACTTCTTGGCCAAGCCAGTTCGATGTAGGCTGTGGAAGGCTGCACAAACCGTTTCACCACTGAAGCTTTAGTTTCCGCAAATAGAAATGCAGGGATTAGAGAAGGCATTTAGGGCTCTTCCTGTTCCAAACTGTCAGGCGCCTTGATGACAAAGTCGAACAGGGTTAAAGTAAGGATCGTGGCTCGGTTGTGGCTTCAAGGAAAGCTCTGCAACCCCAGAACACAGGAAGAATCATCACGGAAGGTGGTGCCCCATCGAAAGAACCTAACCTTTGGATCCAAGTTCCTCATAAACCTGTGAGCCTTGTCACGACCACAGACTTTCACGCCCTTAACGCCTTGAGGCCTTGCACCCGGCCCCTCCCGGCCTTCCCGTCCTAATCTCGCCTCCCAGCCCACGCCGGGTTTGGCAGTCCGCATCCTGTCTTCCAGCTCACGTCCGGGTTCCCAGCCTCCAGCCCCCAGACCCGAGATCACGCCCTGGTCTCGGCTCTGTCCCCGCCTCCCCTCCTGGCCCCGCCTCCCCGCCTGGCCCCGCCTCACGGCTCTGGCCCCGCCTCACGGCTCTGGCCCCACCTCCCCGCCACGGCCCCGCCACTAGGCGCACGCCCACCCGCCCCTCGGAGAGCTGGTCTGCTGGTCCGGAAGTGACGCGAGGCTCCGGCTGTAGGCTGGACGCCGCATTCTCTCAGGGCCGCTCCCCGAGTCACCGCCGAGCAGCATGGCTCTGCAACTTCTGCTCCTCCTCGTCTTGCAGGCCGAGAGCTGGGCTGAGATGAGCCCCGCGGATCTGGAACTGCCTTCGGGTACGTCGCTCGCGGCGGGGCGGCGGCCGGGTGGGGATAGTACGAGGGAGGGAGTCGCCTGGGTCTGGAGGCACGGCCCTGCGGGGTCGCACGTCCGCTTTGGCCGGGGACCTCGCGCGGGGTTCCCTGACGCCCCGGGACGTCTGCGTGGGCGGCCGCCGGGGAGGCCATTCCGGGCGTCGGCGGTCAGCGGACTTCGGTTCCCTTTCTCTCGCCTCTCCCGTTGTTGCCGAAACAAAACAGCCTTTTGGTCTTCCAGTTCTTTTAATTCATTTTTAATTGAGTTTCTCGGTCAGGATTTGGACAGTGTGGCCAGCCGTCGTGACTTAAATATTCTTAGAGTAAACCCCAAATCCTTACGAGATAAATTGTTCTTCCCCCATTATGAGAATCCTTAAGTGGCAGTGGTTGGTCATCTTACGTGTAAGTCTGTCCGCCGTGCGGTGCGTGCATTCGGGAGCAGATTTGTCAGGCTGTGCATCTCTTAGCTTAGTTCCTCGGAGCGTGTTGTTTCTGCCTGCTCACTGAGATTTCCCCGGAAATAAATGTTTTCCAAAGTTCGGTTGCCCTGGTGATTAGGAGCTCCAGTGAAATCAGTGAATCTCTTCTGCAAGAGCGTTAAACCTAAATCATAGGAAACCCCACAGTCTTGAGTGTCTGCTCAGTATCCACAGTAAGCAGTTGCCAGAGGCCCCGCCTTCTGCACCCTTGGCAAAATCTGGGTCCGAAACTCTCTATTATGCCTTTGTGAGCTCCAGTTAGGGGTGCTGCATTCATATCCACCTGTCCTTTGGCTTGCTTCTTAAGAGGCAGGCAAACAAATAATTAGTCATTCCTTGGGACGGACATTGGTCCAGATGTTGGGAATACAAAAATGGGAGTTACTCAGTTTCTGTTTTCAAGGATCATGATCAATAGTTACTAAGGGCTAGGCACTGCTGTTACCTTATCACGTCTCATTTTCACAACAGCCATATAAAGTAGGTGCTAATCGGTATCTCCATTTATGAATGAGAAACCAAGGCACAAGGAGGTCTGCCCAGTTTGTAGAGAAGTCACAGCTACTCAGTAGGAAGCCTGGCATTTGGGTTCCAGAGTCCAAGTTCTTAACCACTCTGTAGACTGCCAATACCTAGAGCAAGTTAGTCATCTACAAGGGCAGGTTACAGTACATTGTGATAAGAGCCTGGACTTTTGCACAGGCTACTGGAAAAGCAAGATGGGGGGTACCTGGGTATGACCGGGGAATCAGGAAGGACTTCACAGAGAAAGATGATAACCCCAGAGTTGGAGCTGGAGGTACAGACTTGTGTGTACAGAGGGAGAGGTGTGAAACAGCACGTTGAATTAATGGAATACTAAGGGTTTCATTGTAGAATATATGTGTGAGGCTCTAAGGGGAGATAAGATACATAGAGAGCTAGGAACCCAGTAAATGAAGTGCTTGTCATGTGTAACAGACAACAAAGGAGAGCAACACAGCATTGGCTAATTTAGGCAAATTGGGGGATTTATTAGCTTAGAGAATCCAAGCAAGAGTTAGAGTAGAGATGCCCCCTGGGCCTGAGAAGGCTGAACCAGTAACTCAAAAGTGCAAAGACTATTTCTTATTACTGATTCTGGGTGCGGACAGCTTTTTCTACGTGGCAGGAATCATGGATGTGGACAGCTTTTGGGCTTTGCATCTTGCAGCTTCTGCCATCTTAAAATCCCAGGAGAAGGCTCTGATTTGCTCGCTTGGGTCAGGCACCAGCTTGCAGGGGAAGGACCATGTTGCAGGAGTGGCAGTAGGGGAGTTTCCAGAAGAGAAATATTCCTGAAGGAAGTACAGGTGCTAGGCCAGTAAAATAAATATGCTCACTACACCTTGCTCTAGTTGGTGGGCGGTCATGGATTATTTGAAGAAGAAATGATTTTATGTAGGATCAGTTAGGCCATTTAGAAAGCCCGTTCGTTTTACACAGTACTTTGGGGATAGACTCGAAGGAAGGAGGCCAGTTAGGCCCCTGCTTAAGTTGGGATGAGTCAATGGAAATGGCAGTTTAAATGCAGAAGAGTGGACAGTTTGAAGAACCTTTAAAAGCAGAGGCAGGGGCGCCTGGGTGGCTCAGTGGGTTAAAGCCTCTGCCTTTGGCTCAGGTCATGATCTCAGGGTCCTGGGCTCAAGCCCCGCATCAGGCTCTCTACTCAGCAGTGAGCCTGCTTCCTCCTCTCTCTCTTTCTGCCTGCCTCCCTGCCTGCTTGTGATCTCTGTCAAATAAATAAATAAATAATCTTTAAAAAAAAAAAAAAGGCAGAGTCAGCAGGAGTTAGTGATTGGATGTGAGAAGAGGATGACTCGGTTTCCTGGTTTAGGTAGAGCATTAAACCATGTGCCATGCCCTTCTAAGTGCAGGCAGGGTCCTCCTAAGGCAGGTACCCCTACCTTTACAAAAGCCTGTGCAAAAGTCCAGGCTCTTATCACAGTTGCCCTTGTACCGTAATTGCCCTTGTAGATGACTAACTTGTTTTAGGTAATGTCAGTCTGCAGAGTGGTTAAGAACTTGGATTCTGGAGCCCAACTGCCAGGCTCCCTACTGAGTAGCACTGACCTCTCTACAAACTGGGTAGGCATCCTTGTGCCTCGATTTCTCATCCATTAATGGAGATACCAGTTGTGAAAATGAGATGTGATAAGTTAACAGTGGTGCCTAGCACTTAGTAACTGTTAGCTACATAATCATGATCCTTGAAAGCAGAAACAGTACCTTCCATTTTTGTATTCCCAGCACCTGGAACAATGTCGGGCCCCTTGTGATTACACAGTGTGCACATACTTGAAGCCAGCTCTGGGAGTATTGTCTGTCTGCTCTCCTGGGAACATCTACTATGGCCTCTTGTACTCCAGGCATTTTGTAAACAGAAGTGCCAGTAGGACACCCCCCCACCCCCACCCCGCCTTCTATTTTCAGTACATTTGTCCAGGCTTTTCAGTGTATTTCTCTAGTTTGTGTTATGTTTCCTCTGCTTTTAAAGTTAGTTTGAAATATAAAGTTAGTTTGAAAACCCTCAAGGACAACCTACGCCTGGCTCTTTGCTAGCTTCCTTGTCTCACTAATGCGTGACATTTAAAAGGCACACAGTGTGTTCACTCTCACCGCGTTGGGTTTCACATATGCTTGATAGTTCATCTTATATGAGGGAACCTGGTAGGAACAGGGAAGCAGGCAGGAGAACATAGTCTCTGCAAAATCCAAGTGGTTGGGAATGTATTGTGCTACAGTGATAGGCTTTTGTTAGTATTTCTTAGTGAATGGATAGGGAAAATAAACTCATGTGTCTAATAATCAGGTATTTCGCTTTTCATCCAGTTTTACCTGGATGAAAAGTAGTATATATATATACTACTTTTATACTGCTATTACAAAAGTCGTATAAATTTTTTTAAAAGTAGTATATGTATATTTTTATAAAAATAGCATATATATAAAAGTGTATAAAAGTAGTATATATATTTGTAAAAAGTAGTATATGTATTTTTAAGTGAAGCAGTGCCTGCCTTCTGCTGTTTGCTCTTCCACTCTGGGTGTTAGTAGTACCCAAGAGCACACTGTACTTTCACACATAGACGTGGGGCTCTTAAGTTGCCTTCTCCACTGATAAAGTGGAGAAAGTCTCTTTTCTGACTTTAAGGAAATGCTCTGGGTGTTCTTAAACTTTTCATTATTTTATTTGGATTCTATATTTAGAGATTAAACATACTTAAGACAGTGCATTTTAATTATATTTATTTAACAGGTTATTAATCATAATTTTCTTCTTCATTTTATTCTTTTTTCCATTTGATTCTGATCCATAATTCATACGGACTTTGGGAGGTCCTCATTTTAGTTCTACATAGAGGAAAACCCGAGAAAGAGAAATCTAACCCTTGTGAAGAGCGCATAAAATCTGGCAGCATGCAGCAGTAGTGCAGTTGTTGCATGGACTGGATGAATAATGAATGGTTCCATTGTAACGGGACAGAGAATCAGAATGAGAATTGAACCAGAATTAAATGAATTCCTGATAGGAGGGAATCAGTTTATTTGTAAGTTTCTTACTGAGGGAGTCTCTTTATTTTAGATTATCCAAAGGCATAGTAATCAGAATGTTGATACCCATTTCAGTCATGTCCATTCCAAAGAACTGATTTCCTTTAATGCATTGTTCAGATTTTTGCAGTGGTCATCGTATAATTGTGATAGTATAATAAATCAGGCAAAACTACTTGAATTAGATGCTTGTGAAGTCATCCAAAAATGATAATTTCCAATTCCTATTAATATGTGGAGGTCATTTTCTAATTTGTTAAACTATCACAAAAATGATGTCTAAGTATCATTTTTTGTGTTGGTTTTTGTGTCGGTTAACAAAAACCAACAAAACTTTTTAGATTGCCAGGTTTTTAAATAGCTTCTCTAAGGCTTTGTCTTTCATTGGTAAAGATATGTATAATGATACCACCTCCCTCATAGAATGGTTTGTGTTGGTTCACTGAGACAGTGCGTAACAATGTGGACCATATTGCTTGTCTTGTGGTAAATGTTTACACATTAATGATTACCATTCAATAATATTCACTGTTACTTTTAACAAATACATTTTAAAATATTAAATTGTTGTAGTTGTATAGAAGAGATTGTGTTCCCTTTAAAAAAAAAAAGCTCATCCAGATCAGCATGAGAAATTTTAAAATAGGTTCAGCAACTAATTTTTGTTCTACCTTTTCCCTGTTCTTCATAGACTAAAAAAGACTCTAGTTTTTCAGTTCCTATTTCTCAACCATTTCTCAACTTGCAGTGACTTAGTCCAAATGGGAGTTAGTCTTGAGAAAGGACTTCTCTTGGGGACTAGGTGGGTCTGGTCCATTTAGAGTTTATTGGCATGCCAAGCACACCCAACTAGATAAAATGAATTAATGGGAGCACATATAAAAATCATACATTTTAGGTCAGAAAGTGGTTAAGCAGATGTTTATT